TAAAAAAAAAAAAAAAAAAAAAAAAAAAGGTAGATTATTATAAATTATTTAATAACTATTAGTAATAATCTGAATATTTTGATTAATTATGTCCCAACTTGATTGCATTGCGTATCATTGTATGCTACCTCTACCATTTGAAAGTGCGAAAATTTGTGTAATTTCAAATGCCTTTAGAAACTACGACAGCTCTGAATTGAAATTTCTGTGTATCCTTTCCAAAGTAAAAGGGAGAATAATGAAGAATACATTGAAATGTATCATTCAATATAATTCAATGTGTGAGATTGTGCCACTGTAACAATAGGAGAGAGGAAAAACATGATTTCAACATCGAGATATGATGTAAATCTTTTTCTTCGGTAGTTGCAATCAAAACATCAGTCGACCTTAAAAACCTCCATGACGGAGAACAAGAACGGATCGATAAAGGGCAGCAACATGGAGGAAGCATATCAACACGATGATGAAATCATCAAGAAGACCAATGATACCTAGCAGCGCTGTCATGGGAAAAGAAGGGAAAAGTTGAACTAACATAACCATAATAAGGAAGTAAATAGAAGGCAATTTGCAACCATTTGTACCTTCAGGGATAATGTCCACCGGGCTAAGGACATATATAGCACTCACTATCATCTGCAAAGTAGCAAAATAAAAAGCATAAACTAATCAAAAGTAAAAAGTTCACTTAATGAATATCAAGGTAAAAACATTGTCCAACTCAAAAAGTATCCATCTAATTGTATCCCTAGGGTATGAACTGCTAATACCCGGTCATATAAGTGGTTTAGCATACTTAACATGTAAACAAGGAAATTTTAAAATGCCATGTAGTAGAACTTTAGGGGTTATTCGTACGAGCACTCTTAAGATGCCTCTCATTCTAGTTACTTTTATGAACCAGAAATCTGTGTCAAAGAGAAGTTCTTGAGGTGAACTTTTACCAAATCTTTATATTGAAGTTCACTAAACTAAAGTTTAGAAACATGTTTACTTTCTTCTTGTTTCTCTAGAGTTTTTCATGTTAATAAACCTTCACTTAATAGATGATAACTAACAAATAAAATAACATGGCTGCTACATGTAATGCAAGTATGGCAGTCAAAAATGAAAGTGCGATAACATATGCTGTCATAGTTGCATACTGAGGAGTGACAACTTAACTGCCAGATAAACACGTGCCCGCATAACAAGCGGTAGTGATCTTTGTGGATTGATCAAATCTTGCAACAATCTCTTGAGAAGAAAAGGAAGGTCTTGCATTCTCTGAGAACAAGAAGGATAGTGTGTCATTGATCATATGAGAATGAATTGTGACAATATTAAGACGTGCAATTCGCGCCATAAAGGACGAGAACATTAAGACCAAGAAGTAGATTGGACATTTAAATAAGTTATAAAATACTCTCAGGTCTTCAAGAGCCAAACAATGCTACAAAAGATTACGCCACAAAACATAGCAGTGCCATCTTTTATTATACTAATCCAAATAATGCATAGCTCATACTACTCTCACTTGCCCGTCGCTTTCTTTCGAAGATGATTCATAATCAGAAGAATAGCCGCAGTAAAAGAAACAGAAATGCCAACCCGATATTTAACATAAAATAAGATATTCTTTAGCTCAATCATCATTCCTACACCATTCAACCACTAATGTGCACACCTCTGGGAAATACAATAATTTTCACCTCATCAATGCAATGTGTCAAGATGATGTTAAAAAAGCCATGGTCAGATTTTGGAATGCTATACTGGAATCAAAATCCTTCAATGATATGAGAGCAAATGAAAAGGATTTGCATTAACAATGAAAGGCAAGCCTTGTATATGATATAATTGTCAAGCATTTGAGTCAAAGTAAATTCAAATGATTTACATGAAAATATATGAAATCCAAGCCAGATCATTATAACACCTCTTCTACAACTAGTATCCCGTGTGCACTTAGTTGGAATGGGAGGAGCTCTAGTGCTGTAAAGAGTTGCATTGAACTAAGATGTCCTATCTCTTGGAATTTCATCCACAAAACCAAGAATTGATAGAATTGTTAATGCCACTGCACCGAGAAAGAAGAGTGAAATTAATGATTTGAAAAAGAGGGCTAGGTCTAGCCAAAAATTGAGTCCTTTGCTTTTGGATCTACTACTTGACCAGTATTCTGTTACAGGTTTGCCTAGCACTTCATCGTCAAACACATCCTTAAGCTAGTAAAAATTTTAACCTCAGGTTAAACTCAGCTTGTATGGTTAGTCTGTCAACCAAGCTGCTCAACCTTGGGATGAGTTCAGGTTAACTAAAGCTCAAATAAGCAAAGCTTCAACTATATTTAGACTCATATATAATACCATGCGGACCTTGACCAGGCTTTAAGGCGTCCTCAAGATATATTTTTAGATACCGCTATACAATTACAACCTGTTTTTGCTAGCCGCCTGGGGGCTTTACCAAGACTAACTAATAAAAGGCCTAAAGGTGGAAGTGATCCTAGAAACCAATCACATTCAAAGTTCGGTTGGGGACCTTGATGAGAGCTGAAATTTAGATAGATCTTTTATTACAATTTCCTATAACCTATTAATATTAGTAGTAGTGATTTTTTTACTGAAAAGAATCAAAGATTCAAAATAAATTGAACACAGTAGTACAAAACATTTAAGACATAAAGGACTCACTCCAGACTGGAAGTCACAGGAGTCAGAAGTTGCAAAAGAAAAGTAAAGAAGACTCTGTTTCATGGCTTAAAGGCACAACGGAAAAGAAACAAGTCTCTGCTAGACAATTTAAACCGGAACGTTAACGTGTGACAACTACGACACCATGAACTTAAAATATACCTGCATAAGACCATTTGCACGTTCACCAAATATACGGTTATATCTTTCTATCCCTTGAAAAACCTCACCAACTTCAGGATCCTGGCGCTGCCTTGATGAAGCCTCACTGGGAACCAACAGGGTGATCTCACGTCGACATAAGGGACATTTACAAGGATGAAGAGCTGATCTATGATTCCAAACTTGTAGTATACAATTACCTATCAAGAATCACATTAATATTTACCAATCACAGTAACCGTTGATTAAGACAGAAAAATGAGCCTCATTTTTGAACAGAGAAAATATTATATATTAGGCTGCCCTGGAAAAACACTATTAGGGACTCAATATTGGATTTTCTTGAAGAAACTTTACAAGGTTTGAACGGATCATTTATAATTCCAAGACCTAATTCTATAAGCCCAATGAAACAATTATTTATTTACTGCTTTGTATGCTCGAAAATAACTGGTGTAATACCTTAACATAAATCTAATGTTCCATAAGATAAAGTGTTGGTGATAATTAAACAAGCATTTCCAGTTTATCATAATTCCGCCATAGAATATCTTTCCCTTCCAATTGCTCGTTGGCATCCCAAAAGTGAGACTCAATGGCGCCCGAGATAACCATTGATAATGAATCCTTCCTTTCTCTGATTCTTAAACGCAGAAAAATACAAGTGTAATGAAGAGTACAAATCATTCCACATGACGGCAAGCTAGTTCAATCTTGAAATTCAATAACTTCAAAATAGTAAGAAAAAATAATTAGATGGAACTATCGTCGTGAATCCCTATCTTCATATGTGAGATTTAATTTCAAAAGGAAAAGGGACAACCAATTTAATTGATTGTTACAAGAAATGAAGGCTTGCAGAAATAAACATAGCGTAGATAACGACTCACCGCAGAACCAATGAGAGCAATTGGCCTGGCAGGGAATGTGAAAATTAGCGTGGCATATTGAGCAGATATCATTCTCCAGAGGCACATCCATTTCTTTGATTCTTTCAACTGCAATCACCCTATTACCTTTCTTTTGATTCTTGATTGATTGATTGATTTATAGCATGCTCAATGCGGGGTGCATAATAGGGATGTGTGCTGGTTAGAAGGGAGGAGGTTAATTAACACAGTAATGACATAGCCACCAAGATTTGTGTGTGTGTGGGGTAAATATACAAAATTATTTGGCTTATTTTATATTAATTATAGATTTAAAAATAT